TGGGATGCTTGGAATATGTCATTTGGTCCTCAAGGATCCGGATGGCATATTCCGAGATGCTAGAGGACACCTTAAGAGAAATTTGTTTGCCTAGAGTCAAATGCCAAATCCATACATAAGTTATACGGCTAACCAAGAGTGGTCCGTCATCGCTTTTTCTCAAAAAGTATCCGTCAAAGCAAAAAGGGTCCGGATGTGCTTATCTGAACAGAACTTGTCCGAATGCACTTATCTAGACCAAAATTTTCCGTTGTGTTTCTCAAAAAGTATCTGGTCAACCAAGAGATATATGGCCATACTTTTCTCAAAAAGTTTTCCCATCTTCTCGCTCATTTTGGCTTTCTAAGCTCACTTTTTTGGAAAATAGCTCAATACTTTTGAAAATACAATGCTATGAATGGCTGAAACGAACGAGAAGGTACCACTTGCCTTTGAAAAATAGATTTGAAAGTTTGGAAAACTCTTTGGCTGAAACAAGTTTAGGAATGTTTTTCTCTCTCCAACCATGAATTGTGTTTGAAATGATTTTTGCTTTCATCATCGAGAGCTTTTCACGGAACGCACAAGTCTCAAGGCTAGTCAAAAATGAGGTGTCTAAAGTAACACATATGTTTTCTAGTTTTAGTTTTTAAATTTTTTTAAACATTTTGTTCAAACCAAACATATTTTTTATTTTTATTTTTTCGAAACTAAACTAAAATCAATTTGCAAATTTTTTTTTTTAAACATAAACAAAAAGACATGTATGTTACCAACATTAAACATGTTTTTCTTGACTCGTTTTTTTTTTTTTAATTTCTTATTGATTGAAATTCTAGTAAAATGTGAATTTTGACAACATTTTTCATTGATAAAAATATGGTTATCAAACACGTTTTCTCTACACTACGACTATTATCAAACTTTTACACCAAATTTAACTTCAAATAAGAAAATAAATTAAAAGATTAGTTACTAAACTCATTATCAAAAAAAAATATGTTTAGTATACGTGTCTCATTAAATACAAAAAGAACTTATTTTTGGGCAAGACGGGTGATGGTACTTGTAGATCAAAATATGTAAAGGCAAAAATACCCTCGATCTCAACTGTAAAATATAATATAACAAAAACAAAAAACAAAAAAAACAACACTTCACTATTCCTCATTCTCTTCTCCACCACTGTACACCCATTATTCCCTTACTCTTTATCTCCCAATTTGCACCATGTTTCGTTCTTCCCACTATACAACCACCATGTCTCCACCATTGTCTACTCCCAATACCCCTGCCTTCAATACATAGCTACCTTACCACTACCTTTATCTCGCATCTACTATCATACCACCTCATCACCCCATCACCAATCAACAATCCACAAAACAAAACAAAAAAGCAAGAAAAAAAAATTAAAAAAATCAATAAATAAAAGAAAAAATAATAAAATAATAAATCCCATACAAAATTAAGAAATCAAACCCTAACCCTAAACCATAATGTGAAAAAGAGAGAGGATATGGATATGGGAGAGGTGGTTGTTGGAGGCGATAGTATTGGGAGTCACACAGGTGATCAAATGGAGGCTAGCTAAGGGTGATGTAGCGGTAATACTCGACGACGTTAATCGCGGATCTGGATTTGGGCAAGAAGGGTGATGATAGTTGTAGATCTAGACAAGAAGCAACGGTGGGAGGAGAGATGTGGGGTTAGAGAGGAATAAGAAGGTAAATAAGAATATGGTGGCAAAAGGCAGAAGTGGAGATAGTGTAGTGGGGACAAAGGCATAAACAATGATTTCGAATAGCGAACTAGGCATATCTAACAGATGATGGTTGCTTGATGGCAGTGATGAGGGGGTTGTTAGGTGCCGTTTAGGAAAAGAGGGAAAAGAACATGGTGGTGCGGTGGGGACTAATTGTGTTGACAGAGACAGAGTTAGAAAGGGATTGAGAAAAAAAGAGAGATATGAAGAGGGTAATAGATGTGAAGGAAATAACGGATATTTTTGTTTTCTCTCAATTAGTGTTGTATACACAAATTTCTTGTTTGTAAAATAAGGACATAAAAATAGAATGATGAATATAAATTTATTAAGCTTAAATGATGTGATTTCAATCTCTGGATATTCTTGTCCAGAAGAATGATCATCTGATTCTTCTCTTCAAATAGTTGACTCAAGAGCTTGATAGCTTATTCCCGAATCGAACAGTGAAATCTCTTCTAAGTAGCACGAAGAATACAACGAATTTGAAAAATTGACTCAAGGGCTTAAGAACTTGCTCTCGAGTCAAATAGCGAAATCTCTTTCAAGTAGCACAAAGAAGACGACAAATATGATAAATTGACTCAAGGGCTCGACAGCTTATTCCCGAATCAAATGACGAAATATTTTCCAAATAGCTTGAAGAAGATGACGAATTTGATTAGTTGACTCGGGGGCTTGACAACTTATTCTTAAATTAGATTTGGAGAATTTTTATCAATTTAGTAGAAGACACTAAATTTATAGAGTTTCATGAAGAATTTTGATTTGAATCTCTAAACTTGAAGTGTGGTAGTTTTGTATGAAGTTTTGTCATAAGTAATTGCCTTAAAATCGAAGGCTTTGGCGAGAAAACTTCTTTGGTGCTTTGGAATTTTAAACCTTATGAGTTTTTTTCTCTACATGATTTGTTTACGTAGAATTGTTTGTATAATTATATTTAAAATTTCGTTGAAGGTCACCCCTATTTATAGGTGTGGGCGGATGGCAGTCTTAATAGAGTTCAAGTTCTTTAATAATTATTTTCTATTTATTTACAAATAAATGTCAAAATATTATTTTTATGACGTGTCATAATTTTATTGGTACAATTGGCTTAATGTGATTGGCTTAAGGCTTGTCATGTTGAACACTACATGATTTAACATGTGATAACTTGTGATTTGACCATTCTATGTAATTTTGATTTGAAATTAATAAATCATGTGACAAAATTTGATTTGTTAATAATTATGTTATGTTTTTGTAGGCTTTTGTAGTATCCAATAATTTGTGATTGATTGAAATTTTGTACGTTTGCAAGTGTCTTTTTTAGAAAATTTATTTATAAATATTATTTTGAAAAATAGTGATCCATTAGCCTCATTGATTTCGAAAATGTAGATTTAATATATTATTTAAAAATTAGATTTACGATTATACCATTATTTATATTATGTTTCCTTCTTCTTCTTCTTTTTTTTTTTTTTTTTTTTCTTTTGTGCTAGAAAGGTAAGATACACAATATATGATAATCAAATATGGGATGAATTTTTGCATAAGAATCTTTTTTATTTGGAAAATATTTTAAAAGAAGTTCAAAAATGATTTGAAATATGAAAATTTTCAAACATTCCAAAAAGATGTGAGATTTTTTAAATATTTCAAAAGGAGTACAAAAACTCCTTAATAAGTTTTGGACAAATGTATAATTTTAAACTGTAACACTTCAATATAACATTCAAACGTAACACTCCAAAAATAAATTTAGTGCATTTTTTTTTTTTCAAACATGACACTCTAACATAACTACTAAAAAAAAAAAATGTACTACTCTAACGTAACACATAAAAAAGACTATTCAACTTTCATTTAGTGTGTCAAATTTTTTGACTTTTTGACTATTTAAACCATATAAAAGTCCTGTTTGGTAGGGCTTATTTCAATTTTTAGGTTAATTTAAGCTATTTTGATGTGTTTGGTTCAGCTTAACAATACAGCTTATAACTTTTTGTAAGTCAAAAATCAACTTATTCTTTGAGTGGGGGAAGAGAAACTTAATTTATAAGTCAAAAACCAGTTTATGTTCATAGTTATAAGCTATAAGCTGTTAGGTTATAAGTTATAATCACTTTCTCACAGCTCTACCAAACGGGGCCAAAGACAAAAAAAAAAAAAAAAAAGTTTTTTTAACATAATAAAATAAAACATCACATCAAAATCATAATCATTTCATTTTTTTTCACAAAAATTAAAAAAATCAAAAATTTATTCCAAACAAAACTTTTTAACTCTAAACTAAAATAGTTAAAAAATTAAAAATTAAAAAATCAATTCACATCTCAAACCAACCCTTTTATATTTATTTTATTTAAAAATAATTTAACAATCCCTATACTAATAATTATCATTTAAACAAACACAATTTTACTTAATTCTCTAATTATCAATTCTCTCACTAACAATCTTTTCATTATTAATCCCCTTACTATCAACCATTTCTATCTTACCTATGAAAACAAAGGGGCCTTGGTGAAATAATAGGCAGCCACCTCTGGGCTCCGTAGCGCGCGTGAGGGAGAGAGTAAGCACATGGCCAGTATTTCGAAATGAAAAAGTCGTTGAAAAGAAAGAAAGAGAGAGAATAATATCTAAATTTATTATTTTAAATTCATTTTTTAAATTTAATAATTTATCAAAAAAAATTTAATTGGTTCTTTAATTATTAATTAATTATATTTCTAACACATTACTAAATTGGGTCTGCACATAACTTCTTGTGAAGAAGAGATGCTTCAATATCGTCGTTGCCTTGCTGCTGCTTGTTTCATCAATGCAGCTTTAAAGCAGCCTGATGGTACATACAGGTATCAAGTACACTATTATGAGTTTTAATTTTCGTACGGAGGGTTCTTCTTGGTTTCACAGTCCACCCCTATATTTACTTTACTTGAAATTTTCTTATTATTGTATTTACCATCACCTACCACCACTACCACCTCACCTACTCCACTAAACCTAACCCACTACACCACTACCACCTCACCTACTCCACTAAACCTAACCCACTACACCACTATCACCATCCACTACACACCACCACTACACCTACATCTATATAAGGAACCATTTGTAATAGACAAAATATCAATCAATATATAAATCAATAATACATGAATTTTAACATGGTATCAGAGCAAGGTTAACAACCTAGTCATTCTGCTTCACCGGCGGGCAGCAGCCTCGCCTTGGCCCCCCGCCGGACCTCTACACATACCTTCCATCCGCTGCCACGAATCCCATAACTGAATCATCGGAATAGTCGCCGTCATCCACGGCTTCACCGGCGAGTCGAGCTGGCTCATTCAGCTCACCTCCGTCCTCTTCGCCAAGTCCGGCTTCGCCACTTGCGCCATCGATCACCAAGGCCCACGGCTCTCTCCCTCAACCTGATCTCTCTCTCTCTCTCTCTCTCTCTCTCTCTCTCTCTCTCTATACATATCTGTTGTCTCATGGAAGTCATGCCATGTCCCGTGACTCCAGAGTCTCAACCCAAACATGAATCATCGAATTTTTCAGAATAAAGATCCGCAACTTTCATCTCGTCGGACTGCCTTCTCCTATGAGCTGTTCTCCTCCTCCTCACTTTCTCTCTCCTCCTCCTCCTCCTCCTCCCTCCAATCAATTTCTCTCACTGTAACGTTGTTGATGCGGTCCCCTCAAGACCGGGAGGCGCTCAGGAACAGCGAGACTCCCTCCCCTCGCCCTGGAATCCAATCCCACCACCACCATCACTTCCACTCCACCGTCTCTGTTCAGAAGCTCCGCCGACTCAACACCCTCATTTTCGTATTCCGACTCGCCGCTTTTTGCTTCTCCGTTGCTGCTTCAGTTTTCATGCTCGTTAACCCCACAAGTGCCTCCAATTCCCCTCGCTGGTACAACTTCGACGCCTTCAGGTATTATAATAATATAGACATACATGCTCTTCACCACTCCAATTTGTCAAACACTGATCATGTCAAATTTTAAAATTTGCTACATGTGTGTGCTTTTTTGGGGTTCTATATTTTGAATCAGCAGGACAGAATTCCAAAAGAGAATTTTTATTCTCTTTGTCCTGAGTTTTCTTGATAATAAAACGGAAGGTTAGGAATTTGCTATTCAAAATAATGGGAAAAGAGAGATTAATAAATTGATGTCTTTCTACTTAGCAGATTCGTTCTTGCTGCCAACACCATAGTCGCTGTGTATTCATTGTTCGAAATGGGAGCTTCTGTTTGGGAGATTTCCAGTGGCGTCACATTGCTCCCTGAGATCCTTCAAGTCTGGTTCGATTTCGGCCATGATCAGGTGCTCTCTCTCTCTCTCTCTCTCTCTCTCTCTCTCTCTATATATATATATATATGCGTCATAGGCATAATAATAGAGGCACAATATGCATAGAGGCATTCAATCTGGCTTGGTTTGGGAGTGGGTTAGGGTTTTAACATTTTGGCATTTTAATTATTTTAATTTCGGTTAAAAAATATCATTTGAATTAAGTTTTTATTTTTATCTTTTTTATTTTTATGAAAAAATATAAAATGAGATTGTTTGGAATGTTCTAAATAAGTGTCATTTTTGACTTTATGAAATTTGAGTTAAGTTTAAAGTGAGGTGATAGAGACGTAATTTGACTTAAATAGGATAGTACTTTTTAATTTTTTGATTTTTTTTTAAAATGTCAAACTTAGCTATAATTTAAATATAATATTTTGTCATTTTTTTTCTATTTTAATCTTTTTAATCAAAAATCAACCTGCGATGTGGTAGGTGTTTGCATACCTGTTGCTGTCGGCGGACTCGGCGGGAACGGCGTTGGCTCGGACGATGAAGGGGACGGACACGTGTACGGACAACAACGCCTTCTGCGTTCAGACAGACATCTCCATCGCCTTGGGATTTGCTGGCTTTCTGTTTTTGGGGCTATCCTCGATCCTCTCTGGATTTCGGGTCGTCTCTTTCATTATCAACGGCTCTCGCCTTCATCTGTAGAGCCCCCAATTTGAGTGAGGGATGAGAATACTGATGTTATTGCCCTTTTTACTGTGCAACCCTACTCTACTCTACTGTGTGTAATCTGCTGTACTGATCTGATTCGGCTTTGGATGTGTTATGGGCTTGGTTTGAATAATAGTTTAAAAATTAATTTTTTTTTTTTAAATATGTAAAACAGTTATGTGATTATTTAGAATGTTATAAATAAGTGTATTTTTTAATTTTTTATATATTATGAGTTGAATTTGAAGTGATGTAATTTAAATAAAATAATATAATTTAAATAAAATAATAATTTTTTAATTTTTTTAAAAAATATCAAATTTAGTGGTAACTATATCTTAAAAGTCAATTAAAGTGATTTCACTCGATTATTGCGTTTTTCCGCAGGATGTTGTGTTTCGTCTTCTTTTGGAATTAATATATTTAGTTGGAGATCATCCTTTTATATATTAAATATAATACTTTAATGTATTTTTATAAAATATCCATAACATATTAATTTGAACTATAAAAATCTTAAAATATATCATTAGTTGAGATTATCAAAATTTATATATAAAAAAAATAAAATAATATTCACTCATAATTAAAAATTTTTTAGTGACAACATATATATATATATATATAAATGTTCAGAACTGCTAGGGAGCTCGAATTATCTCTGCACCGAATGGTTTGAAGTAGCAAAACGATGTCATTTTGACACTTTTTTTCTTCCCTCTCTTTTTCCTTCCTCTTCTCCTTTCGTTCTTTCTTGTTCTTTCTGAAACCAAATCAAAATCAAGTTTCTTAACATTCCAAGCATATTATCACAAACCCAAAAAAAAATAATAATAATAATAAAGCAAAATAAAAATCTGAAACTTTTTTAATGGCTTTGTGAGTATGGTGCATTCATTAAAGCAAAGGAAAGTGGAGGAACAAGAGGAGCAAAGAGAAAGATGAAGGTTGGAAATGGTGTGAGTCCAAACATGCTCCATATATTTGAAAACATTGCTTTTTTCATGTTGGTAGTTTCAATTTCAACACTTTAAATATCCAAACTTTCATAAACCCAGATCTAGGGAATTTCATAAACCCAAATCTGTACACATTCTTTGAAGAATTTTCGCCAAGTATACTGGAAGAAGAGAAGAAGAATCTCATTGTTGCCCACCCAAATCATGAACCAGATCTAGAGAAGGTGGGTAGGATGAAGGTTAACATCGGGGAGGAAGAGTCAATCATTGGTGGTGGTGGTTAGATCGTTGGTGGTGGTGGTGGTGGTGGTGGTGGTGTGGTAATCGTTGTTTGAGAGAAAGAGAGAGAAGAGAGGAGAGTTAGATCTGAGAGAATCAAAATCAAAACAAGCTTCCCCCTCTCTTTTTTTGCTTCTCCTTTCTTCCTCCTCTCTTTCTCTCGGCTCTTTGTTTCTCTTTTTTTCCCTGAAATCAGTTTGGAGGAAAACGAAAAAGGAGATAGATATAAATAAATAAAAAAGGCAAAACGACGTCGTTTTGTAATTCGGGGCAATCGAGCCGCGGTAATCTCGAGCTACCAAGCTTTATTCATAAATGTTATAGATTTCAAAATTTCGATCAACTAAATCACTAAATATCTTACTTGGAGGTTGACCTCACACTTTTGTAGATTCTATATCGATATAAGATATTTGCTTATTTATTTGGTAAAAAATATAGTATCTCTAACATTATTTTATATATATATAAATGTTATAGATCCTAAATTTTTTATTAAATAAATAATTAAATGTCTCACATGGATGTGTCCCGCAATATAGGCCTTCATTATATGAAATATTTGATCATTTATTTAGTAAAAAATTTAATATCTTTAACATCATTCATATATATATATATATATATGTATTTTTCTTTTTTTTTTATCTTTTTTTTAAAAAAAGGAAAAAGAAAAACTATTGTGATATGTCAGAGAGCTTTTTGTATCCTTTTCGCTTATCATTATTGTACGATTACTAATGCTGATTTATTATTATTGATACATGTTCAGTTCTTTGATCAATAATTGTGCACTAGGTTTTTCTTGGAAAATGCTCAGGAACCCAAGCAAGTGAGGCTCGAATGTCTGAAAAATACATACATATTTTCTCTCTTATATGGAAAATATTTAGTAGCTCAAAATTTTGTGGTTTAGATGGCTCAAATCTGTCAAAACGATGTCGTTTTATACTTAAAATCTGTCAAAACGACATCGTTTTGAGTGATTTGAGCCATTTGAACCACAAAATTTTGAGCTACCTAGCATTGTTGCTCTTATATCTATGAGTAATGCTAGAGACCCCAAATATTTTACTAAAAATTTTATCAAATATCTCACATGAGTGTGGGACCTACACAATGTGGGTCCCATGTAAGTCCCACACCAATATAAGACATTTGATAAAAATTTTGATAAAATTTTTAGGGTGTATAATATTTTTTTATCTCTATCTCTCTCCCAAACTTGACCCAAGAAAAGTTTTGATGATTTTCTCTCTCCTCTCTTCAAAACCCACTCTCAAGAAAAGCTTTTCTTCAGTGTTGGTTCTTTTCTCTCTTATCTCTATCTCTCTCTCTCTCTCTCTCTCTCAAACTTGACCCAAGAAAGCTTTGATGATTGTTCTCTCTCGTCTCTTCAAAACCCACTCTCAAGAAAAGCTTTTCTTCAGTGTTGGTTCCCTGCAAAGAAGAAGCTGTGATGATTGCTCACTCACCAACATTGAACATGACCCAGGTTTATACGGAGGATATGAATCATCTCTCACCTAATTTCCATCAAAAAAATTACAATTCATCAAAGACTCCACCAAATTCTCACTCCTCTGTTTTGCAGACACCATTACTCTGTTTCTTACCCTTCTCTGTTACTCTCACCTCTTTGTTCCCTGTATAATTTTTTCTAACAGGGGAAGATGTTAGCACTGAATTTATAGTCTGATTTTGGCTTCAATTTTATCACGTAAATCTTTACTTTTGAGTCTGATTTTGATTTTGGGTAGTGGATGATTGAACTGTGGTGTTTTGGGATCTGGAAGTGTTGTTAGGTGGTGGAAGAGGAGCAAAATTGGGGACTTGTTGGGATGAGTTTGGAAAAAAGTAAGAGAAAATTGAAGAGAAGTGAGACCTATAAGATTCATCCGTTCCTTTTTTTCATCATATCGTTCTCGACTTTCATTCGAAGAATAGAGGCAGCGATTCAACTCTCCTTTGAAGACGACAGTGCTTGTCCACGACGAAGATCGATCTTACTCTGGCCTCTGTTACCAGTTTCAAAGGATAGCAGAAGATAGCTCGAGTTGAAACTCGATCCAACCTTCTCTTTCTCTCGCCTCTGTTACCAGTTTCAGAAGATAGCAGACAAAAAAACAAAAAATTGTGATTTTGACGCCTCGAGCCACTCGCATATATATTACGAGTTACTTAACGGGATCGGTTTTTTTTTTTGTTTTTTATTTTTTTTATTATACATACTCTACATCATATGTATTTTTTTAGTTACGCTCTTTTTTTAATTTTGATTAATTTTTTTTTGTAATTATGATATTATTTTAAAATATTTAATTTTGATTTTTTTTTGTATTTAGTTATATATTATTTTTTTTTATAATTTTCTTTCTTTTTTATATTTTTTATTCTAACGAAACGCACGGCATATATTTCAACGAGCAATTTTAAAAATTTACACATTTGACTTATAAATTTACCTACAATGATATAGTATGAGAATTGAACCTTTAAATTACGGGAATTGAACCTTCAATGATTTGAATTTTGTATAACAAATTACAAATTGACACTTATCCTAATAATTATTGTAAATAAAATTATGAAAATTTTTTGAGGGTCCAAATATTTTCTTATTCGGTAATAATAGTTTCCACCATTAAAATTTGCTTGTCATGGTGTGCAGCCGAGCCGCAACAATTTACCACCAAAGTGTACTGTTGTTTTTGGTTTTATAATATCTCAATTCATTCCTAACCTGATGGTAACATTGCGCCACAACTAACCATATTTAAAGCATTATTCTACTTTTAACTTGGCAAAATGCCAGCCATAAGTAGGATTGCAAATCATGGCGGTTTTTTTTTTTTTTTTTTATTTTTTTTTTTTTTTTTTTTTTTTTTTTTTTTTTTTTTTTAATGTGCAGTGAGCTGTTTGAGTGACCGGATTAAAATATGATATTAGAATTATTAATATGTGGGTTCAATAATTTTGTGTTTATTTTAAAATTTTATTTCAGAATTATTAATCCAATCAATAATTAATCCAACAAATTTATAGGATTATTAGTAATGGGGGTAGGAATGGGATTATATATCCTGAGTTAGGAAATAAAATAAAATGACTATTTTACTTTCATATGTTTTTTTATCCAATACAAATCAAATAATGAATAAGAGAATAATTTATCCTACTAATCCAATTAAATAGTGAATTTTACACTAATTTAATAAGATTATTAACACTTTCAATATTAATCTTGTGAATCAAATATGGCCATCACGTAGTATTAGGTTGCTTTTTGAATTATTTATTACTCTATGAAGCTCAACGCCGTTGGAGAAAGTAGTTGACTTTCTATCTTTTTAGCTCTTTAGTTTTTCTATAGCTCATTTGGAAATTTTTAATTTTGGTTAAAAAGTCATTATAAGTTATCATATTACACTCTCTATTTTTCTACATATCTTTTAGTAAAAAGTTAAAAAAATATTAAAATAATATGTTCTCAAATGAGGCCTTAGTCTAAGGCGTCCAGATCCTCTAGGGTGATCCTCTGAAGTGATCCTCTAGAGTGATTCTTTATGGTGCGACACGTGTCCCATTAACAGATTCAATGGCTGAGATGATTTCTCTCCAAAACGACGTCGTTTTGGTGAACCAGACCAAAAAAAAAAAAGAAGGAAAATCAACAAAGTTTGCAGATCGAGAGGGAGGAGAAGAGAGAGAGAGCTGAGGAAAAAAAATTTCTGGAAATTTTTTGTAAAGTTTGATCCACAATACTTGTCCATGAGTTTCTCGAATGTGTGTTCTCTGGATCTGGAGGCTACATACTGGGATGAGGTGGTTTTGGATCGGAGAGTGGTGGACATTGAAGGAACATTGGAGGTGGGTTTGAATTTGAATTTCTAGAAGATGTGGGTTGCCATTGATGCACAGT